TTTTGGTGAGGGGGTACCAGGGATTGAACTCAGGACATTGTGCTTGTGAGGCAGGCATTGGCACCACTGAGCTAAATCCCCAGCCCTCTATTTTCCTCTCTATGTTACTATGTCAGTTATGGTTTTTTTCTATTTTTATTGGTTAATACAGAGACTACAATAGTCATCCTTGAATTAAAAGTGTCTAATATAGAGGTTGGAATGTAGCTCAGTGACAGAGTGCTTGCTGAGCATGTGCAAAGTCCTGGGTTTGATCCTTGGCACCACCAACAACAACAAATGTATCTAATATAAATTAGGAATTTCACAACTTCCAGGATAAGGAAGGGAACCAAGAATATTTTAGCTTCATTTATTCATTCTCCTATCTTTTGTGGCATTTTTAGTCCTGTTTTGATTAAACAAAAATTTTAAATCCCATTTGACATTATTGTTTTATAATCTATTCACTTAGATTTGACTATTCATTTAGATGTTTACTTCCCTATTTCTCTGTCTCCCTTCCTGTATCTCTACGTGGAATTGTTCCCTGTGCCCAAGGACTTTAGTTTAGTTCTACTTTTAGTGCTTGTCTATTGGCAATCGATTCTCTCAGGTTTTCATTGTATTGCATCTTTTTTACATAAATCTTTGAAGGATATTTTTGCTAGTTGCTAGGTTGGCAATTATTTCTTTTGGCACTTTGAAGGTGTCATGTCATTGTATTCTTCTGTCATTTATATTGCAAAATCAGCTATTAATCTTATTTTTGTTCTTTGAAAATAACGTTATATATCTTATCGCTCATATTTTAGGATTGTTTTGTCTTTGATTTTTAACAGATCTGATATGATTGTAAGCATAGATTTTTGTATGTGTTTATCCTGTTTTGTGTTCACTGATCTTGGATCTGGGTGTTGGTATCTTTCATCAATTTTGAAGATTTTTCAGCAATTCTTTGTTCAAATACTGATTTTTCCCTAATTTTTTCCAGCTTTTCTGGAACTTTTAATTACATATATACTATATCTGGGCCGGGGATTTAGCTCAGTGGTTTCGCCGCCTGCTGCGCAAGCGCAAGGACCCGAGTTTGATCCCCAGTACCAAAAAATAAAAATAAAAAACATATATACTATACCTTTTAACTCTATCTC